TGTGTGTGTGTGTATATGTGCACGCACACAGGAGGTGTCTAAGAAGCTCCAACAACAATTTTCAATGAGATAAAGCCGCTTATATTTTAACACGGAAGGTGTTAAAACATACACACAAACACAGACACACACAAATCTGTAGAGAAAATTTTGATCACTTGCTCTGGTCTTTTTGAGGTGGCATTTGCCTTTTATTCCACTGATCATCTAACCCCTATTCATTTATTCACTAAGATTTAGTAATTACCTTCGATGTGGTGCAGTTCTATTATTAAATAAAGCAGACCAAATTCCCTTGTCTTTGTCTCGGGGAGCTTACACACTAGCGGGGTTGGCAGACAATAAAATGAAACACAACATTAAATTGCATCGTATGTAAGACAGTGAGAAAAATCTATGAAAACATGAGTCGAGGAAGGGGTTTAGGGACTTGGAAACAGGGAGACAATTTTTACATATGGTGACCAGGAAGGGTCTCATTCAGAAGATGGCAGATGAACAAATAACTTGAAGGAGGTAAGGAAGCAAAATACAGCGATGCAGAAAGAGCATCAGGCAGATAGAAGCAGGCATGGTTTGTTCGAGGAGCAGCGAGGAGATTAGGGTGGCTGAAGGGCTGTGAGCAAGGGGAATGGAGGGGATGGGGTTAGCAGGGTAAGGGACATGTGCAGTAGCACCTGTGGACCAATGTATGGTTTCCCCTAGATTGGGATGGAAAGAAGCTGCTATAGATGGTGAGCAGAGGAGGGGTGTGAGCCCCCTTATATTTTCACACACATTCCTCCAGAGTGCGCCTCGTGAAGTCACATCTTATGTGACAGTGAGGCTCTCAAATTAAGTTTTAAGTTGCACACCTACTGGGTATCCCCCCACGATAGAACAATTTTGGGTTTACTTTCTGATTTTTATTATAGTGTGAAAAATAGCTTTAAAACTCACTATTTTGAAGTGAAAGTCTAATGGAACATTTCCAGACACCTTTAGGCCCCTTCATGGACCCACAGAACATAGGCTGATGACTTCTGAGTTAGATGCTGAAAGACGGACCCAGTGCCAACATTCTCCAGGCCCCTCGTTATCAGGATACTACACAACTTGGCCAGGTTTCCATTTCCTAGCTGTAGGTATTTATGCCTGACCTTTTAAACCTGTTCTCCGGAGATTTTAAGTAATTCTGTGTATCCTGCTAATGGTATGTCCTCACACCCTCCCCTGGGTGCTGTGTGGGGGTCCTGCTGGCCTCCAACTCGGGGGAGCTGAGATGTTTTGATTAGCCATGCTTCAGGATGACTGGAGGCGATGAGATTTTCTGGTCACGTGATATGTCATTTCAGAGATAACACTGATGCAACTGTCAGATTCAAGCCGCAGATCCTGAGTCGATAGGTGTAACAATATTTTTAAGATAATGATTTCTGCTTATCTTCTGTGCCTCTCCCTCCTTCTCCTATTTCAAGCCTGGAGCAAAGCCACGCCACTTGTATTTCTTTGCTCCTGAACTCTTTTTTTTTTTTCTTTTTAGTTTCACTCCTGGACTCTTTGCAGAGCTGGAAGTAGAATCATCTTAAAGAGGATAGTAGCCATTCCTATCTTTTGTAAAAGTATTAGTTCATGGATGAGATTTTATTGGCTGTCCCAGAAAATAAGGAGAGAAGGGAGAAGAGAGGGCCTTGGAGGCCAAATAGTGAGAGAGAACTTGTGAAGGGGACCAAAATTTGTGGGTCCTCTTGAGTCCCCTTAGGGAGTAGCCTCCAGGGAACCTGGATCCCAGAGTCGTTTCAGCCTCTACAAGGACCTAGAGCATCCAGTGGAAGAGACGCAGAGCCACTAGACCTGAAGGGGACCGTGCTTGAGGAATGATGGCTGTATCAGCACAAACTGCTACAGACCCATAACTTCAACAGTATCCCTGATACCTGATGCTGGCACAATCCTAAGGATTTAGATAACAATGGGGGTGCGGGGGGCATATCCCAGGAATGTCTTAGATTTAATTTCTTATTATCCACTCCAAATGGAGGCCTGGAGATGGACTTCAGATGGCTAAAAAAAATAAAGAAAGAAAGAAATGTGACATGGCATGCATACTGAGTGTGTAGATTAAGATTTATACTGTACATAATCCACCCTCTGTTAGGTAATAATGACCTTTAAACATACTTAAAACTAAGTTGCTTTCCCCAATGACACTTCTATTATACATAGAATGTTAATAAAGTACTTGATGTTGTTTCAAGGTCTTGTAACTTCTGAACTCATTTCATTAAACATGGTTTTTAGGAATCACATTTATTCAACTAAAGAATGTGGATAAAGCTGATATTCATCCAATAGAAATTTTCCACATTTTGATTTTATACCCTCAGGAAATTGCACGTAAGAGTTAGGATGCATATAAACTATAGGAAGGAGAAATTAAGAAAACAGTTCTGTTTACAATCACTCTAAGAACTATAAAATACTTAGTAATAAATTTAACCTAAGAAGTAAAAGACCTGTACTCAGAAAATTATAAGACACTGAAGAAAGAAATAAAAGAAGATACAAACAAATGGAAAAACCTACCATGCTCATGGATAGGAAGAATTAATATAGTTAAAATGTCCACACTGCCTAAAGCAATATATAGATTCAATGCAATTCCTATCAAAATACCTAGGGCGTTTTTCACAGAAATAGATAATATAATCCTAAAATTTATATGGAACAAAAAAGTCCCCGAATAGCCATGGCAATCCTGAGAAATAAGAACAAAGTCAGTGGTATCATTGCTACCAGACATTAAAATGCACTACAAGGCTACAGTAATCAAAACAGTATGGTACTGGGATAAAAACAGGCACATAGATCAATGGAACAGAATAGAGAGCCCAGAATTAAACCCAGGGATATACGGGCAGTTAGTCTATGACAATGGAAGCAAGAATTTACATTGGGGTAAAGAAAGTCTATTTAATAAATGGTGCTGGGAAAATTGGACTGAAACATGCAAAAAAA